CCTGCCTGGCCCCAGGGTCCTGCTCCCGGCCGAGGCCCAGGAGGGCAGCTCAGCCCGCCCTTCTGAGGAGCTGGATGCTCAGTCCGCTCCCCTGTGGGCTCAGAGGGCATATCCCACCCCTGGGGGCGGAGAAGCGGTACCCCAGGCCCAGGGGGCTCTGGAGGCCCAGTCCCCAGAAGCTGCACCCCCATGGGGTCATATCGTCCAGGCCCCCAATCTTCACCGCCCCAGGCCCCACTCCCACCCCCAGGAGGCCAGAGGGAGCCCTGCCCACAGCCCAGTCCGGGACTGTGCCGTCCCCTCCTCCCGCCCAGACCAGAAGCCCTCCCCTCCAACTTCCCCGGCGGGCCCCCCCCGGAGTCCCGGCCTGGACCCGGGGGTGCAGGCACTCAGCCCCGTCCCTTCCCAGGACCCGGGAGGCCCGGGGCCCTCCAGTCTGGGTTCAGGGCTCCAGGCACCCAGCCTCCCCTGTGCCTGCCCTGAACCAGGTGTCCAGGCCCAGGGCCCTCTCCTCCCTGAAGGACCCCCTTTTGTCTCAGATCCTATCAATCCCCCCCCCCCATCCCGGGCACCCCCGGCTCCAGGCTCCCCAGTTGCCAGCTCGTCCTGTCTACAGCATAGCCTGACCCCACTGAGGAGGAGGAGGAAGCTGCCAGAGATTCCTGGGGCGCCCCTCTCTCCATCAACCCCCCCTCCAAATCCATCACAGAGGAGAGAGGCCACTTGGATCAACAGCCCGCCCGCCCGCCCGCCCGCCCTCCCTCGGTCGTGCTGCAGACGGCTCCCTTCCCGTTCCCGCACCTACAGCTCCATCCCCTCCCCTCCCCAGCCCCAGGGCCCCAGGCTGGGGGGGAACTGGGGGACCTTGAGGAAGGGGTGGCAGCCTGGGGCGAGGGGTGCCGGCCCGGACGCCCTCAAGGTCCTTGGCAGGGGTATTAATAGCAGACTCATAGCTCCGAGGAGGGAGGGGAGCGCAGGAGGAGCGAGGGAGAGGGCCAGGCCAGGAGGGGGGAGAGGGATGCGGAGGGACGGGGTGTGCGGAGGGAAGGGGCGATGGGGAGATGGGGGGGTGGCATGTGGGGTGTCAGGTAGGTGGGGCTGGGGAGAGGGAGCCAGGTGTCCGAAATGGGGAGGGTGGGGGGTAGGAAGTCTGAGCTGTAGAGACCAGGAATAAGGGGACTCAGAGAGAGAGGACAGGGAAGAGTCCCCAAGGGACAAGGCAGCTGGGGTGCAGAGGGGGAGAGGGGGGCAAAGACCACTCTCCAACCCCCTCCTTCCCTGAGGCCCGGGGCCAACTTTCCCTGCCCTGGATCTGGGGGTCCCCGTCCCCACCCCCACCCCCGCATCCCCGACCCCGGACTTACCTTTTCATGACCCTGATCTGTCGGGGGGGAATGCTGGGGGGCTGAGACCGGAACCCGGAGTCCAGCGACCCGAAGATCCGCGGAGGGCTGGGGGCCGCGGGGGGCAGGCCCGGGGCGGCGGCGGCCCGGCGCGGCTCTCCCTCTTCCCGGCCCGTCCTGCCCGGTCTGTCCCCCAAGGTTGCGGCCACCCGGCTAGGCGAGGACGCCGCTACACATGTTGCGCTGGAAGTTGGGCCCCGGACATTGCGGAGGCTGTCGGGGTGTCCTCTCGCCGCCCCGGACCCCGTGGGGATCCCCCTCCGCCCACCCGGGGTGCCCTCCTCCGCCGCCTCAGCCCCGGCTCCTCCCCCTGGTCCATGTGTCCAGTCCCGCCTCTCCCCGGCTCACTCGCACCCCCCCTTTGTGCCCTCCGCGCCGCCCCCCCCCCCGCCCTGTCCCCCAACCTGTCTGTGTCTGCCAGTCCGTCTGCCTGTCCGTCTGCCTGCCTGTCCGTCCGTCTGCCTATCCGTCCGTCTGCCTGCCTGTCTGTCTGTCTGTCTGGGTCACCTCTGCGGCCGGCGGCCGGCGAGGGGCGGGAGGCTGCGTGCCCGGGAGCTGCTCGCCCTTCTCCGCTTGGCCGCCCCCAGACCCGCGCCCCGCGCCCCCCGCGCCCCCCGCGCCCCCACTCCCTCAGCTCCCCGGGATTCCCTCCAGCACCTGGAGCCCGGGGAGGGGCACACTCACACACTCACTCACACTCACACTCACACATACACACTCATACACACACACACACACACACACACAGTCACACACACACACAGTCACACACACACAGTCACACACGCACACTCATACACACACACAGTCACACACACACACACAGTCACACACACACACACACACACACAGTCACACTCACACTCACACATACACACTCATACACACACACACACACACAGTCACACACACACACACTCATACACACACACTCATACACACACACAGTCACACACACACACAGTCACACACACACACACACACACACACACACACACACAGTCACACATACTCACACACACCCCGGGGTCCGGCCCGCTGCCTCCGGGGCTGTGCGCCAGGCAGGCAGACAGACAGACAGACAGACAGCAGACACAGGCGGCCGGGGAGCCGGGCGCGGGGCGGACGCAGGCAGGAGGCACGGAGCCCAGGTACACACCATCCATTCGGTTCGGGGGCCGGTGGGAGGAGGCGGGGGGCGGGGGGGACCCGCGACACCCACCGGGCGGCTCAGGGTCGGTGCAGACAGACAGACAGACAGACAGACCCTCCCTCCTCGCCTCCCTCCTCCCTCCCGCCGCCGCCGCCGCAGCCCTCAGACACACCCCCCCTCCGCCAGCCCAGCCCACACCCGGACCGCAGATCCTCACCCGGAGCCGACGCTCGGGAGACCCCTGGGGGCCGGGCGGACCCGCCGGCACCCCCGCCGGGACCGGACCGGACCGGAGCGGGGCGGCGGGCGGCCGGGGAGGCGGCGGCGGCGGCGGCCGGGCTCGGGAGCCGGAGCGGGAGGACCGCACGCTCGCTCTCTCTCTCACACACACACTCACTGGGGATGCGATTAATATTCAGTCCCCGTCCGCCCCTGCCGGAGACGCACCGGCCCCTCTCGGCCTCCCGGGGACCCCTCCTCCTGCCGGGGCGGGGCAGGGGGTGCCCCCCACCCCAGCCTCCAGCCGCTGCCTCCCTCCGGGACGGGAGAGCGGGGGCCGCGGATTAAAGGGAGGAGGGGCGGGGGGGGGGGAGGCAGGGACTCAGGATCTGGTGCTGAGATACCAGCTTGGGACCCCGACTTTAGGGCCCGGCTCCCTCCCCTCGCCCCAACTTGGAGGCTTGAGAAGCAGGAGGCCCGAGGCCACAGCCAGGACCCAGCGCCAGGCTGGTGTGGATGCAGAAGGCCGGGCCTGCAAAGTAGGTCTCCATGGAGCCAGGAGTCCAGGCCCCCAAACCCTCCTCCCTCAGACCCAGGAGTCCAGGCGCCCAGCCCCTCCTCCCTCACACCCAGGGGTTCGGGCTCCCAGCCCCTCCTCCCTCAGACCCAGGGGTCCGGGCCCCCAGCCCCTCCTCCCTCACACCCAGGGGTCCGGGCTCCCAGCCCCTCCTCCCTCAGACCCAGGAGTCCAGGCCCCCAGCCCCTCCTCCCTCAGACCCAGGGGTCCGGGCTCCCAGCCCCTCCTCCCTCAGACCCAGGGGTCCAGGCCCCCAGCCCCTCCTCCCTCAGACCCAGGGGTCCAGGCCCCCAGCCCCTCCTCCCTCAGACCCAGGGGTCCAGGCCCCCAGCCCCTCCTCCCTCAGACCCAGGGACCGTGGACCCCTGGGTCTGAGGGAGGAGGGGCTGGACCCCTGGGTGTGAGGGAGGAGGGGCTGGCTAAATTACTGGTCCCTTCTCCAATGGTACCCAGTAATTTAGGCCCCCTCTTCCTGGCCTGAGTCCCTTTTAAGCCCTCAGACAACGTGACCCCCTCAGGGGTCCCCTGGTCCAAGGCTCATGGATGTCTACCCATCCCTCCTAGGAAACCTCTGTCCCCTTCCTTTACTGAGGGGCCTAGGCCGGCGTCGCCCGTGGGCGCCCAGACAGCAGAGGAAAGTGGCATCTACCCCCTGTAGACACAGCCTGGCAGGTCCCCTCCGAGGCCAGCTGCCCAGCTCCACCCCCCCTCCTGCTACAGAGGCTGGCCCGGCACCTCCATCAGGTGCTGGGGTGGCGAATGGCACAGGACACCTGGCTCCTGAGGGCAGAGGCTGAGAGAGCAAGAGAGAGAGAGAGAGAGAGAGAGGGAAAGAGAGAGAGAAGAGAGAAAGTGTGTGTGTGTGGGGGGCAGTTCTGGAGCTGGAGCGGGAGCCAGGGCTGTGGGCTGCCCTAACTTCAGGGTCCGGGAGAGCAGGGGTGACGGCTTATGTTTTTGAAAGGAAGAGACTGGGGCCCGCATCTGTGGGTCTCAGAGCGGGGCAGGAATCGGGTCCCTAGATTCCTGGGTCTAGGATGCTCGTAACACCAGATGGTGGAGGTGAGACCCAAGGAACGGGGGCTGGGGCCTGGACTCCTGAGCCCTGGGCGGGGGGCCGGGGTTCGTACTCCTGGGTTTGAGGGGCGTGCTGGGGGCTGCTTTCTTGTCCTTTGGGTGCATTCGGGCTGGAGGCCCATGAAGAGCCAGGCTCTGGGTCCCGGCCTGGGACTGTGAGAGCTCAGAGCTCAGCCTCCCCAATCGCTGTCAAGGTCAGGGGCTGGGCCAGACTGCCTAGGGGAGCAGGGGCCAGATTTGGGAGGTTCAGATCCCAGAGACCCCCTCCCCCCCCAACCTGCACACATCCAGCAGGCGGCAGCCTTGGGGGCGCATTCCCTGCCAGCAGGCTGGTGCCGGCAGGGGGCGCCAGAGAGCCCGGGCCCCGCCCTCCGGGGTGGGGCCTCCCCGCCCGGGCCCTCCCCCTCCCGCCCTCGTCCCTGCTCCCAGCTCCGGCTCCGCCGCCGCTCCCGCCTCGGCTCCCCCTCCCAGAGCCCCCGCCAGGAGCGGAGCCCACCCAGGGCCCCTCTCCCGCCCTGCAGCCAGCCCCGGGGGGCAGCCCCCGCCAGCCCTGCCAGAGCCCCCCGCCCCAGCCATGAATCTCTTCCGATTCCTGGGAGACCTCTCCCACCTCCTAGCCATCATCCTGCTGTTGCTCAAAATCTGGAAGTCCCGCTCGTGCGCCGGTGAGACGCCCGCGGGGGCGGCGGGGGGCGTCCCGGGACGCGGGGGAGGGTGGAGGCAATGTGGGGGGGGACGGGTCCCTCCCCCTCCCGCCCGCTGGGGATCCCCTCTTCCAGGTCCCGGGTCACCGAGGGGTCAGCTCTCCCCCCCCCCCCAGCCTGGGGGTGCGCGCACTTGGGTGGGGGCGGCTCCAGGTACCCGGTGCAGCCTCCCCGGCCCCGCTGCGGGTGGCCCGGGTCCGGGAGCCGTGGCCCGGGGCCCGCAGGGAGGCGGCTGGGAGTTGGTGACGTGGACCCTGGCGGCCGGGAAGAGAGCGGGAGGGAGGCGGCCGGTTCTGGGGGGCACACCGAGGCCAAGTAGGGTTCTCCCGAGGCCCCCACCTGGAGCTTGGACTTGGGAGGACCCCCGAGGGGGCTCCGGGTGGCCGTGAGGCCTAGCTCGGGACGGAGCCTCGGGCTGGAGTAGCTCTGGGGCCGGCTGCCCCCTGGCTGTGGGCCGGAAAAGGGCTGTGCTCCGGCGGGGCGGACAGGGCAGGCCTCCAGGGACCGGTGCACCCCAGAGCTGCCCCAGGCAGCCCCCCACGCCCGGCTCCCGTGTAGCCCACCCCGACGCCCCCCACTCTCTCTGCGCCGCAGGGATTTCGGGGAAGAGCCAGGTCCTGTTTGCCGTGGTCTTCACCGCCCGCTACCTGGACCTTTTCACCAACTACATCTCCCTCTACAACACATGCATGAAGGTAAGGCTCTGCCCACCTGCTGGGCCCTCCTGGCTTTGAGGGAGGAGGTGACAGGGGCTGAGGTTCTTGGGTCTGAGGGAGAAGGGGCTGGGGTTCCAGGCTCCTGGGCCCCAGCCTGTTGGGGGTGCAGGTGCTGGGGGCTGAAGCACCCTCCTCCTCCCCCTTCCTCCTCCCTCCTCCTCCTCCCCTCCGCAGGTGGTCTATATCGCCTGCTCCTTCACCACAGTCTGGATGATCTACAGCAAGTTCAAAGCTACGTACGACGGGAACCACGACACGTTCCGGGTGGAGTTCCTCGTGGTGCCCACCGCTATCCTGGCATTCCTGGTCAACCACGACTTCACCCCGCTCGAGGTAGGCTGCCTGGGAGGGCCTTTGGGGTGGGGTGTGTGTGTGGGGGGGGGGGCTGTGGTGGAACAGCTATGGACAGTGGTCCTCAAAGGCTTCCTTCTGCGAGATTTGCTCAAACTTCCTTATTTTAGGACTCAGTTCAGCGCGTGGGCTCTGGAATCGGATGATGTTCTTGCAGCAGCAGCAGCAGCACCCTCTGTGTGCCGGATGCTGCTCTCAGTACTCCGTGTCCATTAACCCGTTCCTTTTCCAGGGGCCTCGTGGTACAGGCGAGGAAACTGAGGCTTAAGGAGTCTCGCTGCCTCGTCCGAGTCAGCAGCCTCGTGAACGGGGGCTCAGGAGCTGGGCTGCTTGGGTTGGGATTCCAGGTCGGCAACTTTCTGTGGGCGTGACCTTGGGCGTGTGCCCTGACCTCTCCGTGCCTCCGTTTTCTGATTTATCGAGTGGTCAGGTCATGGGAGGACTTACTGAGAGTATACCGCATTGTCTAGCGGTGAAACACGTGGACTCTAGCACCAGAGAGCGGGGATTCGAGGCCCACTTAGTAGCTGGGACTTTGGGCAGGCCAGTTTCTCCGCGCCTCAGTTTCCTTGTCTGTAAAATGGGGATGATCCGTTCCTACTTCAGAGGTTCTGCTGAGTGATTGGTATCGACAGAGCAGTGTCTGGCACTGGGTGGGAAGTTCTGTGTTCATGTTTCTTCAGGGACTGAACTATTTGGCACCAGGGTGATCCTTTTACTCCTCAACGTCTGCTGCCACACATTTATTCCGTGGTGTTTTGGTGGCACCTGGGCAGATTCCTGGGCGGGGTTTTGGGAGGGTGTGTGTGAAGCCTGTGCTCTCCTGGCCCCAGAGGCCCGGCAGGCTTCAACTTCAGAGCAGCCCGTCCTCTCCCTGCCTTACTCCTGCCGCGGAGGAAGCTGGCCCCGAGTGGCCGGATGGGCTGATGTTTTCAACAGAAGCCACAATCCAGGAGTTTCCCTGCGAGATCTCGTTTTCAAAATTTGGCCACAGAATAGATTCCTAAAGTGCCCTGCAGGCCTGACGGATCGGACTGAGGGTGGCTTTGGCCCCCAGACCCCAGCAGTGTCAGAGGGACGCAGCACCGTGCTGAGGGAGGAACGCTGGGCTGGGCGGTAGGCCCTGGACTTTGCAGACACGTCACCACCACCTTGCTGGGAGCACTCACCCAACCTGCGCCCATTTCGCAGAGTGGGAGACTGAGCCTGGGAGAGGCAGTGGGGCTTGCTCCAGATCAGAATCCAGGCCAGTTTTTTTGTTTGTTTGGTTCACTCAGAGGGGGGAGTTCACTTGGGCAAAGTATTGGCACTGACCGTGTGTCCAGCTCCATGCTGGCCATTTCTACACATGCCATCTCCAGTCTGACCTCTCAGCCACCTGGGAGAATGGACATCCTCATCCCCATTTTTGGGGGGAACTAAGCTGAGGCTCAGGAGAGAGCTTGCAGGATTTAAACCAAAGTCCTCCTGAATGCTCAAAAATGATTTTTAAATTATATTCTTTAAAAAATCCAGATGTTGTAAATAGTTGTTTTTTGTTTTTTATTAATATATTTTTATTGATTTTGTACAGAGAGGAAGGGAGAGAGATAGTTAGAAACATCGACGAGAGAGAGTCATCAATCAGCTGCCTCTTGCACACCCCCTACTGGGGATATGCCCGCAACCAAGGTACATGCCCTTGACCGGAATCGAACCTGGGACCCTTCAGTCCCCAAGCCGTCGCTCTATCCACTGAGCCAAACCGGTCTCGGCTGTTGTGAATAGTTAACAATGAACATGATGAGAACGTGACCTCCCATTTCCCCCCATGCTTTGATTCTTTTCCAGGGGCCTGGGTGTATAGATGACGCTCCTTAAGCCTCAGTGAGACGCCTTAAGCCTCGGTTTCTTCGTCTGTACGAGGCCCTCCCTCCCCCCGGAAAAAAATCATAACGTAGGGGGAAATGGGAGGTCCCGTCCTTGTTGGGGGTGAGAAGAGAATACGCGTGGTGCAGGCAGGGTGCAGAGGGCTGACAATGGGGTGTGCACCCATTTAATCGTCACCTTTCTAAGCCTCTCTCTAAGCTGACTGAGGGCCTTCCTGGAGGATTCTGGGTGATTATCGGAGCAAGCCCTGGAGTCCAGCTCCCTGGAGAGGAATCTACCCACATTTTGTTTATTTAATTAAAAAAAAATTTTTTTTTTTTGGCCAAAGTTACCATTTGTATTGATTTCAGAGAGGAAGGGAGAGGGAGAGAGAGTTAGAAACGCCGATGATGGGAGAGAATCCCGGTCTGATCGGCTGCCTCCTGCACGCCCCACATTGGAGAACGAGCCCGCAGCCCAGCCTGTGCCCTGAACTTGGCCTCCTGGTTCATGAGTCGACGTGCAACCACTGAGCTTCACTGTCTGGGCTCTACTCACATGTCAGCTGTGCAGCCTTGGGCCCCAGTCTCATCTGTATAACGGGGATAAGAATAGGACTTAGCTCATAGAGTGAAGGCAGGAGTCCGTGAATGCCTGCGAGGTTCGGGGAGCAGCGCCTCATGCTGAATGCTCTATGAGCACATGTTATTTTTTTTTTTTTTTTTTTTTTTTTTATAAAATATATTTTATTGATTTTGTACAGAGAGGAAGGGAGAGAGAGAGAGAGTTAAGAAACATCGACGAGAGAGTCATCGATCAGCTGCCTCCCGCACACCCCCCACTGGGGATATGCCCGCAGCCAAGGTACATGCCCTTGACCGGAATCGAACCCAGGACCCTTCAGTCCCCAAGCCAACGCTCTATCCATTGAGCCAAACCAGTCTCGGCGAGCACATGTTATTTTTAAAAAATATTTTTTACCGATTTTTTTACAGAGAGGAAGGGCGAGGGATAGAGAGCTAGAAACATCGATGAGAGAAATATCAATCAGCTGCCTCCTGCACACTCCCTACTAGGGATGTGCCCGCAACCAAGGTACATGCCCTTGACTAGAATGGAACTTGGGACCCCTCAGTTCGTAGGCCGATGCTCTATCCACTGAGCCACACTGGTTAAGTTTGTCTGCAGGTTTTTGTCCCCCTCCCAGGGTGCCCTGTCCTGCTCACGAGTGGTGGCTGTCACTGGTCCCTAAACGGTGGCCCTTGACAAGCACGTGGAGCCGACTCCCATTCATCACCCGTTCAGCCTGGCGTCGGATATGTGCCAGGCACAGGGCCAGCGGTGGGTCATGGGGTGAACAAGACGAAGACTCTGAGCCTCATGACTCACGCTCTGGTCGGCGCTGCCAGGAAAGATAAGATGGGTGATGTGACAGTGCTGGGGGACGGTGGTCAGGGAAGGCGTCTCCCGGGAGGTGACTGATGAGCGGAGCCTGGAAGGACGCGGAGGAGGCAGAGCTGAGGGAATAGCAGGTGCAAAGGTCCTGGGGCGGGGAGGAGCCTGCGCGTTGGAGGGCCTGGCTGCAGCCCTGAGATCTCGGGAAGGGGGCGGGGGCAGAGGCTGGATCGGGGAGGGCCTCGAAGACCCCGCTTAGATTTGGATTTTATTCTGGTTGTGAGAAGCAGTAACTACTGGATGGGTGGTTGTTTTCTTAAATACATTTTTATGGATTTCAGAGAGAAAGGGAGAGAGAGAGATGGAAACATCAATGATGAGAGAGAACCATCCATTGGCTGCCTTCCTGCACCCCCCCCCCCCACTGGGGGTCGAGCCCAAAACCCGGGCATGTGCCCTTGACTGGGAATCAAACCGTGACCTTGTGGTGCGTAGGTGGACGCTCTGTTCTGAGCCACACCGGCCCGGCAAGCTACTGGATGGTTTTAAGCCAGGGAGTGACAAGGTCTGATTTACGTCCCTAAAGATTGTACGTAGAATGCCGCCTCCTCAGGGGCAGGAACATCACCTCCGTTTCAGAGAGGCGGCGGCTCTCGCCCAGTCTCACGGAAGGGAAGGCTCAGAGCCAGGTGCACCCTGGTCTGGCGTGCGCACCGACGCAGGACCTGCTCGGGGTCCCGCCCTGCCACCGACGGGCTGCTCCCAGCAGCAGCTCCAGCACGGGTTGTTGAGGAGGAGGACACACGTGGCGCGGGCAGGGCGCTGTCTGGCACAGAGGACGTGCCTGTGGGCATTGCTGTCCGTTCTCTCTCCCACATCCCTGGCTGCACCTGTGTTCCCTCCCGCCCGCCGCCCCTGCAGATCCTCTGGACCTTCTCCATCTACCTGGAGTCGGTGGCCATCCTGCCGCAGCTCTTCATGGTGAGCAAGACGGGCGAGGCGGAGACCATCACCAGCCACTACCTGTTCGCGCTGGGCGTGTACCGCACGCTCTATCTCTTCAACTGGATCTGGCGCTACTACTTCGAGGGCTTCTTCGATCTCATCGCCATCGTGGCCGGCCTGGTCCAGACGGTCCTCTACTGCGATTTCTTCTACCTCTACATCACCAAAGGTAGCTGCCGGGTGGGGGCCGGCGGGAGGGCCCTGCTCCCTTCCCAGCTCTCTCCCTCCATCGCCCCGGCCCTCCATCGCCCGCTCGGGGGAGGGGCCGCTTCCTGTCCTAGGCCCCAGGGTCCCAGGCATTCAGCCTCCCAGCCCCGGCCTCCCTAAGGACCAATGGGGGCCCCCACATGTCTGAGGGAGGTAGCAAGGCAGCAGGGGCCGCCTCCCTACACACAGGTGCTTCCTGTCGGGACCACGGGGAGACCAGGCTACCACCCCCCCCTTCCCTCCCCCGCCCCGCCGCCCCAGCCCGGGAGCATTTTGAGAAGAGGAGACAGGACAGAGAGAGGGGGGGCAAATTGCAAGAGACTTGTCCTCTCTTGCAATTTGTCTTAAGCCCTCCGCCTGCATGAGATCCCAGATCCATAGCATTTCAGTCTCACACCCTAAAAAAAAAAAATCCGAATTCCTATGTCCCCAGGCCCAGCAGTGCTTACGAGAAAGGAAGGCCTCGTCTTTTTTCATTGATCTCCATCTCACCCTCAGGGAACTCAGGCCCATGAACATTGATTGATTGATCGATTCATTCATTCATTCAACCAACCAAGAAATCTATTGAGCACTTTCTGTGCCACAGTAGGAAAAGGATGGACAAGGCCCTCCCCTCCCGTCCTCTCACCCCCTTTACAATTCTAGTTGGGGGAGATGGCGAATGAACTGGTAAAGGGCGATGATTGCAGGGAGACCAGGGGTGTGAGCAGCGGTGGAGGGTGAGAGGGTGCCTCGGGGGCGGCCTCTTGCTGGAGGTGGTGACGAAGCAGAGACCTGAGGAATCAGGCTTCAGTGCGTGTGAAGGAGAGAGGGGGCAGGAGCACAGAGGCCTGGAGGCAGCCCTGGGACCTCGGGGTTCCGGCTGGTCTCCACGGCCAGCCCCGCCACGCCCTCTGACCCCAGCTCCCTCTCCAGACGCGCCAAGGCCTCCAGCCAGAGTCCTCCAAGGCGGGGGGGGGGGGGGGGGGGGGGGAGGGGGACCACCACCAGCAGAAATGGGGCCTCCTCTCACCTCACTGCTCAGCCCCTAGGACGAGATTAGGGTCCCTGCGCCCCACCCCGCAGTGACTCAGGTCCATCCCCCTGGTTTATAACCTGGGGTCCGGGGCCAGCCCTCCTGGCCTCTGTCCCTCCGAGCGGCCCATGGTGACCTGCCCTCTCTCTCCTCGCAGTTCTGAAGGGGAAGAAGCTGAGTTTGCCGGCGTAGCCCTGGTCCCTGGTCCTCGCCGCCCCTCTCCCAGGCAGCGGAGGGAGGCCGAGGAAGGCGATGGGAGACGAAGAGCCTTCCTGTCCAGGGGTGACCTTTTTTTAAGAACCAACGTTTCCCCACGCCCCATCTTCCTCCTGCCGGGTCTCAGGGGGGGTGGAGGACCCAAGACTTGGGGAGCTCAGGACCTGGGCTGTTTGTAGTTTTTTGCCTTTTAGAAAAGAAAAAAAAAAATCTTTCCACGATTTAGTTTTTGATTCTGATGACTCCTTTCTCTTCTACTTTCTGGCCCCGATTTTTATAAACCGTCCCGAGTATCCTGGGGGAGGGGGCGAGGTGGGAGAGCTTTTCTCTCTCCCAAGCCCCTCAGCTCCCTTCCAGATCCTACCCCCAACCCCCCCTGTTTGCCAAACACTAAATCTGCCTGCACGGCCTTCCTGACCTCCCACCCAGGACACAGCCCCCGCCCCCCAACTTCTGGGCTGGGGAAAGGAGGAGGGGAGGAATGGTCTGGCCGATTTTTGATAATTTCCCCCCAGGGTTTGGGGTTTTCAGTCCCGTCCTCGTTTTGGGGGCGTTTAGGGGGCTGGCTCCAGGGTCGCCGTGACTCTGCCACCATGTTTTTGTACAGAATTGATGGTTGATTCTTTGTTCTCTTGAAATAAACCGAGGAAAATGATGCCTCTCTTTTGCTACTGCTTGCCCTCTCTCTGGCGTTTGTGGGGTCCTGCCCCAGCTCCCTGTCTGCTTCTGCTTTGTCCTGCTGACTGTCTGAAGGCGGCTGAGGCCTGGGAGGGGCAGGAAGACGAGGAACTGGGTTTCCTGAGACTCTGAGCCGTACCCCGAGTCCTCACGGGGTCACGAGGGGAGATGCTTTGGAGAAAAAAAAAATAACCCTGTAGTGCAGACCCTCGCTGGCTGTTCTCCGAATCTCGGGGTCACCACTAGGCAGCCCCATCCCACCCTCATCTGGCATTTTTTGAGCCATTCTGTTTCTTACCAAAAAAAAAAAAAAAAAAAAAAAAAAAAAAAGTTGCCAGTCTTTAAAAACCAGAGTTTCGCATGAAAATCTGAATTTCTGGCTTCTCTTGAAAAAAATCCCATCAGGGTGACAATGGCTGGTCCCCCTCCTGCGAGGCAGCAAGTGCCTGGGCTCAATGGTGGATGTGAGCTCTCTGCTCAGCCCAGGGCTTGGCTGAGGGTCCTTGCCGTTCACTGCAGGCCTGACACATTGTTTTCTGGTTGTGTTTGTGGAGTAAGAAGGAAAGGGGGCCCTAACCTGTTTGACTCAGTGGATAGAGCGTCTGCCTGTGGACTGAAGGGTTCCAGGTTCGATTCCGGTCAAGGGCATGTACCTTGGTTGCAGGCACATCCTCAGTAGGAGGTGTGCAGGAGGCAGCTGATCGATGTTTCTCTCCCGTCGATGGTTCTAACTCTCTCCCTCTCCCTTCCTCTCTGTAAAATATCGATAAAATATATTAAAAGAAAAAAAAAAAAAAAAAAAAGGAAAGGGAGATAGTTTCCATGCCTCCCTCCAGATGGGCTTGACACCTGGCCCGTTTCCTTCCGTGGCCTCCCCTGCCTGGCACTGGGAAGCTCTGGGAGCTGGGCCCCGGTTTTAGACTCCCTGGACATCTGCTGAGACCCCTCGCCGCCCCAGGTCTCCGGGGGACGGCTCTGGAAGCCATGGAGGAGCCCCCGGGGCCCTCCGTTCCCCTGCAGGGGGCCCTGGAGGAGGAGAGGAGGCTTGGAGGGCTGGCGGCAGAGGTGGGTTTGTGCCCCGCTTCCTCACGCTGGAGCCTGCGTTTAGTCGCTGCTGTGGGGTATTCCAACCGTTTACGTTTTTCTCTCTTTTAAGCCCAGGGACCTCCTGTTTAGAGGGATGCTGCCCAGCCTCCTGGGAGATGAGGCAAGCTGGGAAGCGGGACCAGGGCTGGGGGTGGCCTTGGGGCTGGAAGCGGCACCTCTAGGAATGAGCAGTGGGAAAGCCATCGCTGTCATGGGTCCCAATCCCTAGCTTCCCAGCCAACGTGGGTCAGCCCGGATGAGCTAAGAGAGACGGCCCAGAATAGGGACTAGACGGCCCTTGTCCAGCTGGCCACAGGATGGGGACTAGAACTCCCACCCTCCCCTGTCCCCGTCACAGCGCCGCCCTCCACGCCACCTCTGCCACTCCCCGCGCCCACGGGGACCGGCCTTTTCTGTGTCCCCGGATCGGAGCACGGGGCCTGCCACATAGGACACCTCACCAAGTGACCACGGAGCCCACATGTGACACCCTCCTCCCCCCAATTCACATCCTTTTGTGCAGTTTGTAAATGAATGCACGAATGCTCTGCGGGCCACTGAGACTCTCGTGTGAGTGCGTTTTGTTTGGCTGCATAACATTAAAAAAATGCGCATAATGTCCGACTGTTCTAGAAAACCCAGAAGGTTCTAGCTGCTTGGTCCAATGTGGCCCCATCAACATGTGACCATTAGCACTTGAAATGTGGCGGGTCCAAGTGGATATGCAAAGGATTTTGTAAACTTGGTGTGAGGGAATGTAAGATACCGGGTCTTTTTTTTTTTTTATACTGATGACATTGTGAAATAATATTTTGGGTATACTGGGTTAAATAAAATATGTGAGAATCAATTTCACTTGTTTTGTTCTACTTTTCTATTTAAAATTCCATGCCCTGCCCGGCCAGTGTCGCTCAGTGGTTGAGTGTTGACCTATGAACCAAGAGATCACAGTTCGATTTGTGGCTAGGGCATCTGCCTGGCGTGGTGGGCTTGATCCCCAGTGGGGGCCGTGCAGGAGGCAGCCGATAGATCAATGATTCTCATCACTGATGTTCCCTTCTTCTCTAAAAGCAATAAAAATATATTTAAAAAAATCCCACGCCCTGTGGCCTGCATATTCAATGGAACAGCTGCTCTAGGCATCCCAGGCCCATGGTGGCGAATGTGGGCACCGAGTGTGGGTGCTCCCCTCCTGGCCACGGCCCCTCCCCCCACTATGCACTTAATGGCTGCCTCACCCATGGGGGCTGCCTTTTTGGTCCTACAGACAGGAGCGTTTTGTGGCCTGTGTGTGAGTCCTCCATGAACTTGGGATTCTAGAATAAAACCCTTCCTCTTCCCCCACAACCCTCCAAATATGTGAAGGTCAGGATCTCCCCTCCCTGACCCCCGCCTCGGAGCTGGGTCCCTTGTCCCTGGAGTGAGTGCAAGAGCTTGGGCTTTGGTGTCAGCAACGGGACTGGTCAACCAATGTTGACCCCGATTCTCATTGCTCTCTCTGAACTTGAACTTCCTCAGCTGCACAGCGGGAGACTGCATGCCCGTGCCCCCCACAGCTAATGGGAGGAGCTATGTCCCTGTCCTGTCCCCACCTCTAATGTGCAGCTACCACGGTGGCACCCAGATGGAGGGCCCAGAGGTGGCACGGACCCCTGGGGTGACCCCTGAGGTGACCTTGTTGGGTTTCTCCCCCCCCACCCCCCCGGGGCCACTCCGCGTGGCACAGACACGAGCAGGACAGAGGGCCGTGTTCAGAAACCCTCCTGCAGGGAGGGGAGCTCTTTACTGAGGCGATGGGGGGGTCTAGTTGTCGGGCATCATGGCAAGGCGGGGGACCTTCGCGGTGGCCATGTAGGGGGACATGGCGGAGCTGGCGTAAGTCACGCAGTTGGGGCCAGGGGCAGGCGTGTTGATGGGGCTGGCGGCCGAGGGCGGGGAGAGGGTGGTCAGCACCACGCCCCCCTCGTCCAGGGTGCGCTTGTAGGGGACCGGAGTGTCATTGTGGAGGTCCTGGAAGGCCAGGTAGGCCTGGAATATCTGCGGGCAGAGAGGGGCGTGCTGTAGGCCGGCTGGGGCTGGGTGGGAGGAAGAGGGACCGGGGCTGGGGCCTGGCCTGGGGGAAGACGCAGGGCACAGCTGGGCCAACTGCTGCTGGTCACCCAGCTCAGTGGTCACCCCCACCTCCCCAAGGCCTAAGGCAGGCCCAAGTCCGCCCTGAGAAAGGGACACCCTCTTTCCAGTTTGCCTGGGAGCCAGCGAAGTTTGAGGGAAGCCCCGGGGCTGAGTGAGCGGGAGGATGGGCTAGCCCTCCTGCCCCCACTTCAGAGGGTGCCCGGTGCCCGGGGGACGGCTCCTCCTCACCCAGATGGGGACAGAGAAGAACGCGAAGGTGATGGAGGCCTTGGCGCTGCTGCTCCCCAGGAGGAACTGGTTGGGTGGCGAGTTGTGCCACTGGTTGGCCAGGAAGCAGAAACCCAGGAACCAGATGCCTGCCCAGAGGACTGGAGGTGCAGGAGAGAAGGGGGCGGGGGGAGGAGAGCTGTTTCAGGGAGGGCCACTGGCCAGGAACGGGCCTCTCCCTCTGGCCTCCGTAAGATGTGCCGCTGGAGTGGAGCTGCGCTGTTTACATTTCAATCAATTAAAATCAAAGTCAAAATAACTCATCTCTCCCGGCCAGTGCAGCTCAGTGGTTGAGCATTGACTCACGAACCAGGAGGTGTTGGTTCAATTCCAGGTCCAGGGCACATGCCCAGGTTTTGGGCTTGATCCCCAGGAAGAGGCCTGCAGGAGACAGCTGATCGATGATTCTCTCTCATCATTAATGTTTCTCCCTCTCCCTCTCTCTCTCCCCTCGTCTCTGAAATCAATGAAAACCTATTTTTAAAAATTCGGCTCCGTGGTCCCACTTCAAGTGCTCAGGAGCCACCTGTGGCCGGCGGCTCCTGTGTGGGAAGCACAGGTACCAAACGCCCACCCCCCCCAGGAAGTTCTCTCGGAGGGCATGGACCCAGCGTCCACTGAGGGCCTCCCAGCCCCGAAGGGAAGCGGGGGGGGGGGGGGGGGCGGGCGGGGAGGAGGAGGAGGAGCAGAAGGAGGAGAAGGAAGGGCGAGCAGAGGGCGGTTTCTAGAATGGGGCCGGGGAATCGGAAGGGATGACCCTTACGCCGAGTCTAAAGGACAGAGTGATAATTCCCAGGGCAGGAACCCGCAATGAGCGTGAGGAGGGCGGACAGCGCTCTGCGTTCCACGTGGCCGGCTGGGCGGGGGAGGGCGGGTGCTGGGGTCGCCGGGCTGGGGGCGGGCTGGGGGCCGTGGGCCGGGGGCGGTGGGCAGCGGTCCTGGCTCACCGGCCAGGATGAAGTCCAGCAGCTGGAAGGCCGTCCGGAAGCGGGTGCAGGCAATGTGGCCCTCGTGGGCGTCCAGGGCCAGGAAGGCCAGGCAGCTGAGCAGCGCCAGGAGGCCGGCGCCCACGGCGAAGCTGCAGGCCGCGTTGTTGCTGTTGAGGACGCAGCGGAGCTGCGAGGAGTCCGTCTTGTTCTGATAGCCGTCCGTCAGCAGGGAGGAGAAGACGATGAGGGCGAAGATCTGCGGGAGAGGCGGGAGAGGTTCCAGGGCCCAAACCCTTTGGTGGCCCCTGGGCCCCCCTTCTGTAGACGGGACCCTGCCATCCACGTGGGCAGCTCTGGCCCCTCCCTCCCGCCGGTCTCGGAGCCTCCAAGCCCTGTTCCTGCTGTTGCCCCTCAACCACCTTCCCACCCATCCCAGCTGGGGCCTCCTTTCCCCCCGGGGCCCCAGCCTGGTCTGTGGTCTCCCCGTTCACCTCGCCTCACCCCGGCCCCTTCGGTCAGGGACCTTGCCGCCAAACTCAGGCACCAACATCGGATGCTTCGCCCAGTGCCCGGGATGCAGTGGCAGCTCAGTGTTGGCAGCGTGAAGACTCTCTGCCTCCAGCTTTCCTGCGGCTCCCTCCTCCCGCCCCGTCGGCTAATCCCTATTCAGCTTTTACAATACGTGTGTGTGAGATACTCCCCGAACACAGACAAGAGCGGAGAGAGAGGTAACAGACGCCCGGGATCTAACACACAGGGACGTTTGTTGTTGTTTTCGCGGAGCGCGCTCCGGTACCACTCCCACCCGCGCCAGCCTGCGCCGTCCTCACGGCCGCCCCGGGGGTGCGGGTACTCCAGCGGCCCCGTGTTTTGGGTGATGGAACTGAGGCACAGAGAGGCGAGGGATCACCCAGAGCCACCCAGTTAGCAGGCGGCAGCGCTGGGTTGGGACCGAGCTGTCTGGCTTCTGAGTCTGCCTTGTGCCCCTGCCTTACTGCCTCCGGCTGGGCCAGGCACCTGAGGGCCGAGGTTCCTCAGTGCCACCCAGTGAAAACTTTACCTCCCAGTTATTCTGCCGGCCATCGCAATGCAGCGTGGGGTGGAGGTGGGGGGGTCCACACCGGATATGGAAGGAACCCGTGCACTATGGGGCGGGCGGGGCGGGGGGAATGGATCTAGGAAGCATGGGGATGAGGCGATGTCTGTGAGGAGTGATGCAGGTGGGAGGTGGGAAAAGCAGGGGCTCAAAATGGGGAGATTGCCAGGGGGGCAATAGGGAGCCACGGCAGGCCTCTGGGCAGCGGAGGGGTGGGGGCGGGCTCTGGGTGCCTGAAGACCCCTTTGGGGCCGTTGTAAAGGTGGACCGGAGGGGGTGAGACTAGAGACTGGAGGCTGGGAGGGGACTGAGCTTGGGGTCAGGGAGAGACTCAAGGTCTAAGCCGGAACTGAAGCTGTGGGGCTGGTTTGAGGAGGAAATGGAGTGAGATCTGAACTGCATCTTAAAGAGCGAGGCGTCTTCCAGACGGGGGAGGAAGGGCAGGCCAGGCGGGGCGCACCGTGTGTGCTAAAGCCAGCTGCTGCGGAGTGGGGCTCTTTCAGGGACCGGAGGAGCGAAACTGTATGAGAAGGATTCGGGGTGAGGAGGCTGGGAAAGAGGGAGGGGCCCAGGCTCAGAGACTGAACGCCAGACCAGACCGAGGGGTCTGGTACCGGGAGCTGGGGAAAGTGACATTTCTCACTTGGACTCAATGACAGGCATGGAGAGGTTCTGAGCAGGGGATGGCCGGGGTCAGACCCGGGAACCAGAGCGAATCTGCAGGGTCGTGATGGCTCGGATGGCGCGAGACAAGAAGCCAGCAGATCAGGGAGACTGGTGGGGAGGCCCAGGCGAGGGGTGCTGAGCGCTGAGCTGAGGTTGGGGCTCTGAGGGACCCAGTGATATTTAGGACCTCAAACAGGCCACGGGGATTGATGGACGTGGCAGTGCTGGCTGGGACCAGAGCCAGGGAAGGGTAGGGTAAGAGGAGTCCATTAAAAAAAAAAATGTTTGCATTGATTTCAGAGAGGAAGGGAGAGGGAGAGAGAAAGAGAAACGTCAATGATGAGAGAGAAACACTGATCGGCTGCCTCCTGCACACCCCCTACTGGAGATGGAGCCCACAACCCCGGCATGCGCCCTGCCTGGAATCGAACTGGTGACCTCTTGGTTCGTAGGTCGACATTCGACCACTGAACCACACCAGCCGGGAGGGGGAATCCATTTGGATTTGAACTCCTTCTGGACAGGTCCACGTGGGACCCTTCCATCCCGAGCACCGAGCACCGAGCACCAGAATGGACCTCGGCAGATGTGTGTGAAAGAGGGAATGACCTTGGGCCTTTCTTCTGCGCTCTTGCCCTGACCTTCAGAGTGGGGACCAGGGAGGCAACCGAAGAACCCCTGAACATAGCCTCTGTTCCTCCTCTGCGATCCTTTGTCCTGCCTTCGCTGAATAATAATAACGGCAGCGAGTCCCTCTTCTTGTCCTGCTCGGCGGCATTGCTCAGGGGATTTGCCTCCATCTGGTTCAGGATGGAGAACCGAGTCCTTAAAGGGGGGCATCTTGCCTGATGGTCTGGGGCGGAGCCAGGTCTAGGACCAGCAGGCCCATCGATCGTTTGAGCCTCTATCCGTTGTTACCTGCATCACCTCCCCGAGACTCACACCAGCGCCACACGCTGGCTGCTACCGATCCATCCCTGTTGCACCGGTGATATATGGAAGCCATTATGGTGGCGAGCAAAGAGCCAGACGCGGCCGCCTCTGCCAGCTGTGTGGCCTCGGGCCAACCCCTCACTTCTTGGAGCCTCAGTTTCCCTCAGTCTGTCTCCGTGCTGTGAGGAGGGGGTGTGCAGGGTGAGGGGGGGAGGACTCACCCAGGGAGGGGACCAAGTGTCCTCTCAAGGTCAGTCAGGGGGGGATAGGGGATGGGGACCCAGCCCTCCTGATTTCTAGCTGGGGGGTGGGGGTGGGGTGTCTGTGCATTGACCACCCCCCCCACCTTGGGCTGTGGCACTGGAGGTGCGGGGAGGTGGCTCTGCCCGGCCAGAAGGACCTGAGCCCTCGGAAGCCCGAGGCCAAACCTCCTTCCGCGCCCTCTCTGGCCGGTCCCCGGGGAGGGAGCAAAGATTCATCAGTTAAGGCACCAGCTGGCAGGCGGCGGCCAACACAAGCGCCAGCTGCCCGGAGAGTCCCTTCCGAGGAGCCAGCCAGGGGCGAAGGGGAGCCGGGCGGGAGGGAGGTGATGCAGGCCGCGGGCAAAGTCTGTGAGCGAATCTTCTGGCTGGCAGCCCTCCCCCCTCCCCCAACACACCCGTCCGCACCAGCTGGGCCTCCTCCTCCCTCGCCACCGCCCTTCCTCCTGAAGTCTGAAGTGTGTGGCTCCTTTCACCAGCTGCGTGATGTCCTTGGGCAAGTCACCCAACCTCCGTGGGCCTCAGTTTCCCCTGGGGTCAACCAGGGGTGACAATGCCCTGGAACCAGGAGGTGGGATTCATAACTTGCTCTTCCCCTGGCCGAGAGCGGCAGTGGACACAAGTCCCCGTCACCCTAGGGGGCGCCCCCCCCCCCCAACTCATCCCTCTCCTCGCTCACAAGTAATAATTTGTCCCAATCATAATCGCTATTTGACAAAAGCTGGCCACGTGCCGGGCGCGTGTTTATCAGTTTAGGGATGCTAACTTGCTTCGTTTCCGCCGCAGTCCTTCCCGGGGGCGGGATATGAGGGCCCACGTCTCACACACGAGGGTACGGGGGCTCAGAGGAATCAAGCACTTGCTCAAGGCCATATGGTATGTTATCAAACAAAACCGGGTGCTTTTGAGAATAAAAGGGGTGCTCTGTGCCCTAGCTGGTTTGGCTCAGTGGATAGAGCGTCCGCCTGTAGACTGAAGGGTCCCGGGTTCAATTCCGGTCAAGGGCATGTAGCTTGGTTGCGGGCACATCCCCAGTAGCAGGTGTGGAGGAGGCAACTGATCGATGTTTCTCTCTCATCGATGTTTCTAACTCTATCTCTCCCTTCCTCTCTGTAAAAAAAAAAAAAAAAAAAAAAAAAAAAAAAAATCAATAAAATATATTAAAAAATAAAAATAAAAGGGGGTGCTGTGGATCATGACATCGGGCAAATGGGGGCGTCCGTCACCCTCCATGGACCTGCATGGGACCCAGTAGGAACTCCAAGCCAGGCCTGCCACTCCAACCACAGGCTCCGGGAGGGGTTGCAAGGGGAGACTCTGGATTAGGTCCCTGGGTTTGACCCAGGGCCCTCACCTGGCCCCATGCCCCCGATCGTGTCTCGCCATCTCCCTGGGCCTCAGTTTCCAGCTCTGTCAAAGGAGAGGAATAGAGGCTGCACCACCTGGAGCCCAGAGAGGGACAGTGCCTGGCCCCAGGCCACACAGCAGAGTTTGTGCTGAATGTGGATTTGAGCCCAGGTGTCGCGACTCTTGCGGAATGGGGTGCGGATTAAACGCAGGCCTGTAAAACCCTTGCCTGGCACCGTGCCCGGCCCAGTGCCTGCCCAGCACTTGGTATCTCCGGTCTACGCTACAGACTCTCATCCCGCCTCTGTATGCCACTCCGGCCCTGAGGCCCCGGCCACTGCTGCTCTCCTCGTCCCTCCTCTGACGGGGAGAACGGACAGACAAACAGGCGTGGGCACCTCGCAGACCCCCTTCTGAGCCCGGGCCCCGCCTCTGGGTGTGACCGTAGGTAGCCAGCACCGGTGGCCATGATGGAGATGTCCTCCATCTGCCCAGGAAGCCAGCCACCAGCCCCCTGTGGCTGTGGGGCACCTGACATGGGGCCCCTGTGTCTGAGGAACGAGACATTGTATTTTAATTAGTTTAAGTGGAAATAGTCACATGGACCCCAGCTGGTGTGGCTCAGTGGATAGAGCGTCTGCCTGCGGACTGAAGGGTCCCAGGTTTGGTTTTGGTCAAGGGCACATGCCTGGGTTGTAGGCTCGATCCCCAGTGGAGGGACTGCAGGAGGCAGCCGATCCATGATTCTCTCTCATCATTGATATTTCTCTCTCTCTCTCTCTCTCTCTCTCTCTCTCTCTCTCTCACTTCCTCTCTGATATCTACATATATAAAACCCAAATATGCAAATATACCGAATGGCGGAACAACTGAACAACCAGTTGCTATGACGTGCACTGACCACCAGGGGTTGTGTGTGGAACATAGTGGGCATCGGCTGCAGCAGGATGGTGGAGCAGGTGGGGGGGGGGGTGCGCCAGACCAAGGCGGGGCACTGATCACAGTCATTGGGGCGAGCCTCTGGTAGTTACTAAAAATCCTTCACTCCCGCCGATACCGATTTGGCTCAGTGGATAGAGCATAGGCCTGCGGACTGAAAGGTCCCAGGTTCGATTCTGATCAAAGGCTTGTACCTGGGTTGCGGGCGCATCCCCAGTGGGGAGTGTGTAAGAGGCAGCTGGTCAATGTTTCTCTCTCATCGATGTTTCTAGCTCTTTATTTCTCTCTCTTCCTCTCTGTAAAAAATCAATTATAGCCGAAACCGGTTTGGCTCAGTGGTAGAGCGTCAGTCTGTGGACTGAAAGGTCCCAGGTTCGATTCCAGTCAAGGGCATGTACCTGGGTTGCAGGTACATCCCCAGTAGGGGGTGTGCAGGAGGCAGCTGGTGGGTGCTTCTCTCTCATCGACGTTTCTATCTCTCTATCTCTCTCCCTTCCTCTCTGTAAAAAATCAATAAAATATATTTTTTTAAAAATCAATTTTCATATATATATGAAAATCCTTCACTCTCGCTGTCACAGTCCCACCCAACACTCCCACCTGCTGTGGCGCTGACCCCGCTCACACCTCAGCACCAGAGCCACCGCTCCCACCCGGCACCAGTCCTACTTGTTCAGCATCGTCTGAGGACTTCCACGCCTCTCCCTGCTCCTCAGGGGCGATCGGGGCGGCAGCTGCCACTTGTACCGCTGCTGGCACCGGCCCCGATTGCTCCGCATCACCAGTGTGTGCAAGCAGGGCCAGCGCTGTCCGCGCACGGGAGCCACAGTGGCGGGAGCAGGGCTGCTGGCAGCCGGGGACCTGGGCTCACGGTGGGAGGGGCCCGGTGGGGACACGTAGGATGGGCTGAGACCTGCCCCCGTGCTCACTTGCAGCCTTGCAGCCCACAGTTCCTTTCAAGGTGCACAAATTTGTGCACTGGGCCCCTAGTCAAGATATATTTTAGAAAACTAAAAAAACAAAAATTATTCAACTTCTCTGATCTCAGTTTTCCTATCTCAAAAATGGGGCTCATGCCCTGGCCAGTTTGGCTCCGTGAACAGAGCAGTCAGCCTGAGGACTGAAGGATCCTGGGTTCAATTCCGGTCAAGGGCACCTGCCGGGGTTGTGGCTCCATCCCTTCTCCCTTCCTCTCCGAATTCAATAATAGTAATTAATAATAATAATAATAATAATAATAATAATAAAGTATATTTAAATGGGGCTCCCAGCACCTGCTCTGCAGGGCTGTTTCTTCCATGAGAGGAGGAAGGGCCTGCAGGCGGGTGCTCCGTCCTGCTATCAGCTGCCTCTGGCTCCTTCCCCCTCCGGCCCCTCCTGTCCCCACACCCTGTGCTCTGTCTGTGGGCTGAGCCCGGCTTCCTGCACCCAGGGCCGTGGGGCCGGGCTGGGGGCTCACCCCTGCGAAGATCCTCGTGACCGTCTTCGGCCGCTTCAGGAACTGCACGGCATTGCTGTCCGCCAGGTCCTGCAGGCTCTCTGGGATGTGCATGGCGGCTGCTGGGCCTCGGGGGCCCGGGGCGGCGGGAGTGGGGCTGCTCTGCTGGCTCCCTTGGGCTCCAGGCTCACCCTGGGGCTCGGCTGCTCCACGACAAGACGGTTGGGGGGCGGGGAGGTTAGGGTCAGAGGCACGGGGTGAAGGAACTTCTGGGGTGGGGGGGGTCCCCGGAGAAGGGGCATGAGAGCTGGGGGTCCCCGGAATAGGGTTGTGTGGGATGCAGGGCCTGGAAGGGTTCTTAGGAGTTGGGGCATGGGGTGCAAGGGCTGCTGAGGGTCCCAGAGCTGGGGGTATAGGGTGAGAGGTGTGCCGAGGATCCGATGAGTTGGGGTGCAGGGTAAAGGGGGTCCTGAGAATTCTAGAGGTCGGTCACTGGGTGAGGGGACGCCTGGGGGGCGCAGGGGGAGGTGCTGGTGAGGAAATCCCAGGCAGGGAGAAGGGGTGGAGAGAGGGCTGGGGTATTGGGGTCACCCACTGACGCGGGAGCACAGCGCCCCTTTGAAGGACTGAGTTCCCCCCCGTGAGAGGACACAGTGGCATTTCCAGGGAGTTGAGGCACTGGAAGACCTGAATCAGGGGGATCCCCCTCAGGTGTGGGGTGTCAGCGTCCATAATGGAGACCCCCGGTAGAACAGGGAACATATGAGGGTGTCCTTAGGAATCGGGGTCATTTCCTCGGCATTGACAGGCCTCCACCTAGCATCCAGCTCTTATCTTCATCAAAGGGCGTTTTCTCAAAGTTGGGGGGCCTGGATCTCAGACGTGTGGGGACCTGGGCTTAGAACTGAGGAGGCCCAGCCCCCCAGCACTCGGTTACCTTCTTGGAATCAGGGTCTTCCCTTTAAGGACGTGAAATGGGGGTGGTGAGGTTTTGGGGGGTTGGGGGGCGACACCGCCTGACAAAGGGTCACCCCTACTCTGAGGCCCGGCTGCGTCACCTGGGGGCCCGCTCAACCTTTCGCCCACCCTCCCCAGCCCCGTCCCCTGCGCCACCTCAGGCTTCTTTTGCTTCCGCCTTTTCCCGCCTTTTTCGCTCCTCCGCAGCTGATTGGCTGCGCCCAAGCCCCGCCCCCGCCCCTTGCCCTCCCACTCAGTAGCGGACACGAGCGGGGGCGTGGCCACGGCGGACGTTGGGCGCCCGCCGTTGGCGGGCTGCGCGCGCCGGGGGAGGCGCGGGGGAGGCCCCTACCCCGCCCCGGCGCTCCCGGGAGTCTCGCGCCCGCCGCGTCCCCTTCTCTTTGCGGCGCGGGGACAAGGAGACATTCCTGCGGCGCATGCGCGCGCCCACAGCCAGCCCAGTCGGGGAGAAAAGCGGGCATGTCGCCCGTGCGCAGTTGAGACGGCTTCCAGCAGGAAGAAATGGACCGCGCTCAGTGACCCGGGTTCTGCGCATGCGCCCTCCTGCTGGGTGAAGCCGAGTCTTTGGGGACCAGAAAGCCTCCCTGCACATGCGCAGGAGGCTCAATGACAGTCGAGCGTTGGCTAAGGTGAGGGGAGGGAGGGGGCTTGCATGGCCGGGGCAGGACGGCCCTGCACCCTCAGTGCAACCTTTCCGAGCGTCTCCTAAGCTCCAAGGACCCACCTCATCGCCTAGACCCCCGCAGAAACCAGTTGTACCACGACAGGGTGTCCAGGCCCTTAAAACGCCCCAGGACCTAAGCCCTCTGACCCTTCCCTGGGACCCAGGTCAACTGAGCAATGTGGGAGGGGACCCACGAGAAGGGGGGGCGGGCTCTGCGCCCCGCTGGGGTTAGGAATAGCTCCTGGAGATTGAGACAGGGAGGAGGAGAGGGCGCTTTTCCACCCGACGTCCTTTGACCCCCTCCCCTACCCATTTCCCTTGTTTAGGCTCCGGGCGCAGGGGCTGGCCATGTTGCATGTGACCCGGGGCGTCTGGGCATCCTGGGTCCGAAGATGGCCAGCCTTGCCCGAGCTCCTGGGGCCCACCCGGGCCCTGTCCTCGCTGGCGGCCAAGATGGGGGAGTACCGCAGGATGTGGAACCCCACGGAGCCCCGCGACTGGGCGCAGCAGTATCAGGAGCGGTTCATCCCATTCTCCAAGGAGCAGCTGCTCCGCCTCCTGATACAGGTATCGCCCGTCCGGGGTCCAAGCGCCTGGGGCCTACGACTCCCGGCAGGCCTTGCGGCGGCAGGGCCTTGCATGCTATAGAGGGCTGCCCCGGCCCCTCCTGGGAGTTGTAGTTCCTATTCTCCTTGCAGTCTCTAGTGGGCAGGAAGTGAATCGGAACGTAGGGGAGGGGGAGAAGACCTCTGAGATGCAAATTGTAGCATCGATTTCGACTCCATAGCTTGTTCTGAGGCTTGAACAAGCACTCTCGGGGCATGGTTTTCCCCTTTGCAAAATGTGTGAAATCAACATCATCATCATTACTATTACTACTATCTAATGATAATTATACCTACGAAAGCATCATCATAATTATTCTCACACTGTGTGAGCTCTTACTGTGTGGCACCGTGCTAAGCATTTTCCCTGTATTGAATCATCAGAGCAACCCAATAAGAGAGTTACCGCCATCACCCTCGTTTTATAAATGAGGGCACTGCGGCATAGAAGGGAAGTGACAAGCATACATAATTGGTTAAATATGGGTGCTCTGGGGTCAGACAGGCCTTCAGTGGATTTTCAGTTTCTCTGTATCTAGACATTGTGGTCCTCAGTGGGTGACTTCCTGAGCCTTATTTTCCCCCCTCTGAGAAACGGGGTTATAATTCCACTGGCCTGGCCTCTCAGGTGGGCAAGCAGTGCCTGGCCCACAGTAAGCAGTGTGTGAATGTTGGTGAGTCAGCGTCAAAGTGAGAATTTGAGCTCTCAACTTTCTCAGTCACCTGTTTGTTTGTTTTTTTTTACTATGCCAGGCTACCTCAGTTTCTTGGTCAATAAAATGGACACCCTCCACCAAACAGAAACAAAATTTTGAAAAGCCCAGAGCTCTGACTGTCGGTATGGGCTGCCAGGGAAAGAATTCCTTCCCACGAGGAAGGGGAGAGAGGCCTAACGATCCGCTTTGCTTCCCGAGGTAACAGGAATTCCACTCCAGTCCTGCGGAGAAGGTGGCCCTGGAGGAGTTCTCTGCCCACGTGGACCTCTGCACCTTGTACCACTACCACCAGATCCTGAGCCGGCTGCAGGTGAGGGCGGGGCCCCTTCCGCCCAGCCACGCTTGTTTGCTCACCCGTTCATTCAACAAAAGTCCTCTGAGCGCCTACGTGGAATCTGGCCCTGCCTTAAGCCCTGGGGGTGCTGCGGGGAACAGTTCCGGCAAAGCCACACCCTCGGGGAGCCGGCATTCCAGTTGGGGAGGTAATAAGTAAATAGGAAATCTGATACCCGGAGTGGTAAGTGCTGTGAAGTACCATGAAGCAGAGGTTGAAGCAGGTCTGACAGGGATGAGACAGGGGGTCTGTTTTAGACAGGGTGGTCCTGGAGGGCTTCCTGGAGGTGACAGGCAAGCTAAGGCCTGAGTGAAGAGAAAGGAGCCTGCGTGATGGGTGTCTGGGGAGGACATTCCAGGCAGAAGGAGAAGCACGTGCAAAGGTCCTGGGGTGAGAGAGGACCTGGGGTGTGGGAGAAACAGCAAAAGGACAGCTGTAGCTGGAGGGAAGGGAGAGAGGCGGAAGGTGGGAGCAGAGAGGGAGTGGGGACCAACTGTGCCTGGCCTTGCAGGGCACGGGGAGGACAATGCTTTTACTCTAAGTGAGCCAGGAGCCACAGGGGGGCTCTGAGCAGAGGAGGAACCGATTTAGTTGTTCACAGGATCCTTCTGGCTGCCGCGTAGGGAACAGACTGTCAGAGGCGGAGAGGTCTAGTAAAGAGTCTATTATGCTTGTCCCGGCGAGAGGTAATGGCAGCTCTGACAAGAGTAATAGCCGTGGAAGTGGTGAAAAGTGGGCAGGCGCTGGTAATAGCTGGCAGACCGCAGCACTCAGCTGTGTGGGCCGGGTGGTGAGGGAAGAGAGGAGTCCAGGGCGCCTCCAGCGGCTCTGGCCCGCTCCCCGAAGGATGGAGCTGCCATTTTCTGAGACGCGGATGACGGGGCAGGGGCGAGAGGCAGATCTGAGGGAAGATTGGAGAGGCCAGCTTTGGACTTGGGAACTGAGCCACCTGTCAGGCAGATAGGGAGATGGACTTGAATGTGGGGTCTGGAGGTCAAGGGAGGAGCATCTGGGCTGAGAAGCAGCCCCGGGAGGATGGAGATGGCACTAAAGGGTACCGGGAGGGGAATTAGCCGAACCCCGGGGTGTGCCAGCCTTGAGATCAGGAAGGGGAACTGGAACCAGGAAGGAGGGTGGACAAGGAGCCTCAGAGAGAGAAGCAGAACCCCAGAGAAGTAGAAGAGACATTCTTAGGTGCCTCCTCCCCCTCCTTCCTGGGCCCTGGGCCCAAGACCACCTTCAAATTCATTGATTTTCTAGAGCGACTTCCAGAGCTCAGGAAAGCTGTTATGCTTGAAGCGGTGTTTTCTCACAGTGAAAGGATGGTGAACACAGTCAGCAAAGGAAAAAGGCCACAGGCAGGGCCCAGGGGCGCCCGGGCCAGAGCTGCCACTTGTCCTCTCCCAGTATTGTCTCTAGGACAGCCCTGAATTCTCCCACCGACAATGTGTGGCAGCGCCTGTGGAGGGCTGCCAGCCAGGGAAGCTCACCGGGCTCTGTCCGGGGTTTTATTGGAGGTCGGTCATATAGGCCTGGCAGGCCACCTGTGTCACTATCCTAGTTACTCAGTCTCCAGTCCCTCCAGCGGTCAGACTGCCTCATGGCCCAAGACTAAGGTGACCAGACATCCCGCTTTTGGCGGGACAGTCCCGATTTTTAAAATGCCGCAGGACGCGGGACAAATGGTTAAAAATCGGGACGTCTGGTCACCTTACCCAAGACTCCCACCATCAACCACATTGTTAGCATAGACAACCAGTGTAGCCCAAGGCCCTGGGCAAACCAAGGCATTTTTTATTACTTTATTGTTATTTTTTAAAAATATTTTTAAATTTATTTCGGAAAGAAGGGAGAGGGAGAGACTGTAACATCAACAATGAGAGAGAATCATTGATTGGCTGCCTCATGCACGTCCCCTACTGGGGATCAAGCCCACAACCCAGGCATGTGCCCCTGACCAGAATCAAGTGTGGACCCTTCAGTCCACAGGCCAACGCTCTATCCACTGAGTCAAACCGGGTAGGGCCCAAGAGACTTTTTTTAAAAACATTTTTTTTAAATTGATTTCAGAGAGGAAGGGAGTGAGAGAGATAGAAACATCAATGATAAGAGAGACCTATTGCTCACCTGCCTCCTCTACATCTCCTATTGGAGATTGAACCTGCAACCTGGGCATGTACCCCAACTGGGAACTGAACTATGACCTCCTGGTTCATAGGTCGATGCTCATGAGCCATCTCCTCTGGGCCCAAGACACTTTTAAAATAATATATATTTTTATTTATTTCAGAGTGAATTATTGGATTGGCTGCCTCCTGAATGCCCCCCACTGGCGATTGAGCCAACAACCCAGGCATTTGCCCTTGACTGGAATCGAACCCAGAACCCTTCAGTCCATAGACTGACGCCCTATCCAATGAGCCACACAAGCCAGGGCCAAGACACTTTTTAAAAAATATATATATTTTATTGAATTTTTACAGAGAGAAAGGGAGAGAGATAGAGAGCTAGAAACGTCAATGAGAGAGAAACATCGACCAGCTGCCTCTTGCACACCCCCTACCAGGGATGTGCCCGCAACCAATGTACATGCCCTTGACTGGAATCGAACCTGGGACCTTTCAGTCCATAGACCGACGCTCTACCACTGAGCCAAACCAGCTTCGGCCCAAGACACTTTTTAATTGATTTCAGAGAAAGGAAGGGAGAATGTGATAGAAACATCGATCAGCTGCTCTCCGCATGCTCCTATTGGGGATCAATCCTACAACCCAGGCATGTACCCTGACCAGGAATTGAACTGGTGACCTCCTGGTGTACTAGACGATGCTCAACCAACTGAGCCACACTGGCCACGCATGCTAAACTAAGACACTTTAATCAGGCAGGGCATTCCAAGGTTATCTTCCAGGAGCCCCTTTAAGGTCCTGACTTTCGTTGGAAATGTGCAGGGTTTGGGCAACCCAGGCCTGCTGAGTTAGCCCTCCCCTGCACACCGCCACGCCCTCCTGCAGGTCCCCTCTTTGCTTTGAACAGCAGCAGCGGACAATGGCCTCCTTGCTGAGCACTCACTGTGCACTGGGCTCACTGACCCCTTCCTGCGGTGCCTCCTCCTGCCATCAGCCCCCTTGGCAGAGGCAGAAACCGGGGCCCCGCAGGGCCCAGGACGTGCCCAACGTTGCACAGTTCCCAGGCAGCAGAGCCAGGATGGATGCCCAGTCCACCCGCCCCTAAGCTCTTCCCTGGGCACTTGTGGCCTCTGGAGTCAGGTTTTTTGTTTTTATTGTTGTTATTTTATTTTAAAATATATATATTTATATATATTTTTTACAGAGAGGAAGAGAGAGGGATAGAGAGTTAGAAACCTCAGTGAGAGAGAAGCATCATTCAGCTGCCTTTTGCACATCCCCTACTGGGGATGTGCCCGCAACCAAGGTACATGCCCTTGACCGGAATCGAACCTGGGACCTTTCAGTCCACATGCCCATGCTCTATTCACTGAGTCAAACCGGTTTTGGAATATTGTTGTTATTTTAATATATAATAAACATTTATATTGAAAGAATAATCAATGAGGATGCATATTCCCACTGAAGCAGGAGATTTTAAAATCTTTTTTAAAAATTGATTTTTAGAGAGAGGGAGAGAAAGAGAAACATGGACGTGAACACAAAACATCAGTCAGCTGCCTCCTGCATGTCCCCTACCAGGGATCGAACCCACAAACGGGCACGTGCCCTGACCAGGAATCCTGGAATTTCGGTGCATAGGACAACGCCCAACCCACTGAGCCACACCGGCTGGAGGTTTTAAACTGAGGTACTGAGGGGGTGGAGTGGAAGCACCAGAGGGGGAATGAGGTACTGGGTGACCAGTTGTTGGTGACCTAAGTCCCTTGAGGAAGCAGCCTGGGCGGGAAAAGAATAAGAACATCCCCAGTTCAGAAGCTGGCGTTGTTCACTCGTCACGCAGGTGACCATGGGAGGTTCCTTCTTCCCCTCGTTCATTCATTCATTCACTGAATTTTCTCAGTATGTATGCATTGAGCACCTAGTGTGTTCTGGGCCCCAGGACACCGCAGCAAGCCTGACATATGTGTGTATCTGCCTCGTTTGGTCATGTTCTAGTGAGGGAGACAGGCCCTCAACAAAGGGAAGAAGGGAAATAGGATAATAAGAGAGGCTGAGTGCGAAGGACAGGGTCGCCAGGTAAAGTACAGGAAGTCCCGTTTATTCATTTGTTTCTGCTGCTGTGAACTGGTTGGCTTAAAAAAACAGAAATGTGTTCTGTCCTCGTTCGGGAGTCCGGAAGGCGTGGGCAGAGTTAGTTTCCGCTGGTGGCTCTCAGGGGGAGATCACCCCAGGTCTCTCTCTTAAGCTGTTGGTGGCTGCTGGTTGTCCTTGGCTTGTGGCCACATCACCCCCTCTCCATCTTCACATCGTCTTCTTCCCTGTGCCTCTCTATGCCCTTCTCTGTCTCCTATAAGGACACCCTCCCTGGATTTAGGATCCGCCTCAATCCAGGATGATCTCATCTCAATCCTTAATTACTCCTGCAAAAAACTCCAGGCAGCCGAAGCCGGTTTGGCTCAGTGGAAGAGCGTCAGCCTGGGGACTGAAGGGTCCCGGGTTCGATTCCGGTCAAGGGGATGTACATTGGTTGTGGGCATATCCCCAGTGGGGGGTGTGCAGGAGGCAGCTGGTCCATGTTTCTCTCTCATCGACGTTTCTAACTCTCTATCCCTCTCAATTCCTCTCTGTAAAATCAATAAAATATATTTTAAAAAACACACAAAAAACCCCCAAAAAAACTCCAGGCAAATGAAACATAGTCTCAGGTTCTCAGAGGCCGTGAATTTTTAGGGGACACCACTCAACTCTCTCCACCCAGTTACAGCTGCATTTCAGATAAGCTATGAACACTTTGTTAAATCTGATGATGTCCCGTGCATATCAGAATTTTGCACGAGACACACT